CAGTTCTTTTAGCAATAAATGATAAATTATCTTAGCTTTCTTTGATCTGGAAATGCCTTTATTTTTGTCTTCAATCTTAAAGGACACTGTCCCTGGGTATATAATTATATTCATCAGTATTTTTTTTTTTTTTATTTTGGTACCAGGGATTGAACCCAAGGGTGCTTTACCACTAAGCCATATACCCAGTCCTTTTTATTTATTTATTTAATTATTTAGATTTTGAGACAAATTATTGTAGAGTTGCTTAGGGCCTTGCTAAGTTGCTGAGGCTGGCTTTGATCCTTCTGCTTCAGCCTCCTGAGTTGCTGAAATTACAGGTGTGTGTCACCATGCCCACCAGTATTTAAAAAAAAAACAAAACATTTTGAAGGACAAGGACAGCTGGCCTGTAATCTGATTAGCTACTGCCTGAGTATGTACTGCCTTTCCTCTGTTCCATGATTTCTCATGAGCAAATGAGCTGTGAATTAGCTCATTGTACCCTAGTATGTAATATGTCTTTATTACTTAGATTTTCAACACTTTTCTCTTTATGTTAGGATTTCAACAATTTGACTATGATGTGGCTTAGTGTGGACTTCTTTGTTTTGATTTTTTTGTTCATTTGTTTGCTTTTGCAGCACTGGGGATTGAAGCCAGGGCCTTGCACCTGCTAGGCAAGAGCTCTAGTACTGTGTTATAGCTTAATGAGCACTTCTTTGTGTTTACTCTGTTTTGTATTTGTTTAGTTTCTCATAACATGCATATCTTTCCTCAAATTTGGAAAATTGTTGGCCATTATTTTCCCAAATAATTTTTTATGCCTCATTTTCTCTCTCCTCTCCTGGTATTCTAATTCCTCATGTGCTGGACTTTAAAAATATTACCTTATTTGTCCTTTCAAAAACTTTATTTCTCTTTGTGCTTCACCTTGGATAATTTTTTCTTGATCTTCCAGTTGGCCTATTCTTTCTTCTGTCATATCCATTTGACTGCTAAATATGTTCATTAAGATTTTATTTAGGAAAGTATGTTTTTAGTTTTAGAATTTCCATTTTATTATCTCTATTTCTACACTAAGATTTGCATTAATTGAAAACATGGCTTTTTAATAACACGGGGTTTTAGGGTAGTTATAATAACTGCTTTAAATATTTGTTAGTTTCAACTTCTAGTTCATTTCAGAGTTGGACTTGATATATTTCTTTTTCTAGAGATTGTGTTCCATTTTCTTGATTCTTCATATGTTAGGAAATTTGGGGTTGTATTCTGGACACTGTGAATATTAAGTTATGGAGATTCTAAATTTGGCTTTTTATGACTGTATATTTCAGCAGTTAATTCTCTTGGCTGGGCTTAACTACAGACTCACTTCTTGGGTGGCAGTTCTGGTTTTAGTTCAAATATTTTTTCTTTGGCTAAATAGATCATGTACATTATATATGTGATCAAGCTTGCATTTTACTGTGATGAGACAATTACTACCAACTGAAAATTAGAACACACAGAAAATAATATTTAGATACATCAAATATTTGACATTTAGACACATGTAAAAGTACTAGAAAAATATCACTGACACATATTTATACACAGCATTTCAATGGAAAAGTCTTTTTTTTTTCCTAAGCATGAAGTGGAACAAATAAGGTGAAGTTCACAGAAATGTGAAACTTAATTTGGGAAGTAGATGCTCTAAACAAAATTAAATATAAATGGGAAATTGGGGACTATATTTGCAACATATATGGTTAAGAGTTACTATCTTAAAATCCAAAGAGTTTCTCCAATCATTATAAGCATTGTACAACATATACATATATGAAAACATTTACTTCACTATGTACAGTTAAAATAAATTTAATTGAGATAAAAATTCAAAATTTAAAAAAGTAAACTAGCCTAAAGTGGGGGAGGGAGCTACAGACAATTTGCAAAGAAGAAAAATACAGATATCAGAAACATATATAAAAATCTATCTAACCACACTAAAAAACAAAGAAACTCAAATCATAAAATTATCCGATATTTTATCTAATTTCCAAAGATAAAAGATATAACACCCATAAAGTCAGAGATGTAAACTAATAGGCATTTTCATACATTGCCATCCAAGATGTAAAATGGTGTGTATTTTTTTTTGGCAAAAGAGAGCCAGAATACTTACCCAATTTTTATTTTGCATTGTATTTCCTTTATCATACATGTCATCTGTTCTTTTCAGTTGTATGGAGATAATTTCAGATGTACAGAAAAGTACATAAGTATTGATTTCTTATTTTTAGCAATTGCAAAAATAGGATGTAAGTTTAATTGCATGGATGGAGTTTCGTTAAATATATTAGCTTATATATAAAATGGAATATTAATCAGCTTTTAATATGGATAAGACAGATTTGTAGGTTTATGTAAAGAATTATACTATGAAATGGAAGAGGTAAAAGTAAATTGCAAAACACTATGATGTTTGAAAAACATACATGTGTGTCATATCCATTTAACTGCTAAATATGTTCATTAAGTTTTTATTTAGGAAAGTGTGTGTGTGTGTGTGTGTGTGTGTGTCTGGTGTATGATTGTGCATGTGTGTGTTCTGGAAATTTAACAACAAATTCTTAATAGTAGTTACTTTTTTGTTGTGGCTATGTGTAGGAAGGTGGCGATGACATTCTGTAATGTGTGAGTTTTTCCAACATGTTGTATTTCATATTCCATGAAAAACTTAAGTCTTGAGATATTTTTACTTTGGAATTAAAAAAAAGAGAAGAAAACAATTCCAAAGGAAAAGAAATCTCTTGAATGGTTAAAGAAACCCTATGATCCTGGAAGGTGAATAGAGAGCTGGAATTTTCTTTGTGATGCTGAACCCAGTTACTCTGCTTGGCTCTAGTGATGATGGTGGAGAGTCATCCCTTGAGGCCCGAGATGAATGGCTGATGAAAAAAATGCTAGAGGCATGAGGCTCTTGCAGGCAGAGAAGACACTCCCTTTCCTTGCAAGGCCAAATACTGGTGGGCAGACGTGATGGTGGAAGGCATGGCGACTCTCAGCGTTAACAGATTGAGACAGCCCTTCTGTTCACTCAGGGTAGTGCAACCAGAGGACACCAGTGAACCAGAGAACCGTGATGATTACCTCGTGCCTTCTGCCAGGTACAGGCCCAGAGAAGGGAAAGAACTTATTCAGAGTCACAGACGTTGTGGATGGTAGAGGTGATGACCTGGGAACCGTGTCATGTCACAGTTCTGGCCCAACACTTTTCTTGACCCTTGAAGGAAGCTCACACTTTTGTATCCTTCAAGTTTATCTGATGACTCAGAGAATCAGGAAAGACCCGTGTTTTCCCTGTTCTTTGACACTGTTGGCAGGCAAGAATTGTAATTTGGGAAGTTGGTTGCAAACCTTGATGATATTAAAGATCTAAGTTGGGTAAAAATATCCAGGACAAAATATTCTTTTCTCATCTTATAATCCTTCCTGACTTTCTGAAAGCATCTTTATCTAGAGAAGTGGAGAATGAGCTCCTGTGCATTCTTTAGCACATTCAGCAAATATGAAAATGTTATTTTCTTTGTAGTAAAAATATGGACTACAATGATGGTTTCAGGACTGCCAGAACTGGTTATTGTTAGATAACGCAGTATGGGAAACCCACATCTTCCATCCATTTTCTCTCTCTATTGATCTTTTAACAGTCTTAAGTCATCTTTTCCAGTTCCCCAATTCTTGCTCATTCCCCCACCTTCTCTCTACTTCATTTGGTCCTCTCCAATACTTCCTTTCTTTCTTCTCAGCCTCCTTTGCTTGCAACTCTATCCTGTTTCCTCCCTATTCCTCATTTTTAATTTTTACTTTATTACAAACTTTCCATCTCCAATCTTGTTTTCCTTCTCTCTTCCATATATCTTGCCTTCTTCTCTTTTTTAATTCTGCAAATCCCTTCACCCATATCCAATCTCATGGAGAAACCAAATCATAGGTGCAGGTTAAAGAAAAGATTTCAAGAAGTGAATAAAGAAATATCAATAGCAGCAGAGAGTTGCCAGGAAGGGGCCATCAGTACTGAAAAGGATGCTGGAAGGAAGATAGAGCTAAATAGTGGCTGGACTAATGGCTGGAAAACAGGAAGCAGGATGAGCCAATGTTCCAGGTCAGAGCCATACTCCCCTACAGACAATGGGAAATTTACAGAAAGAAGTCATCATGTGACTTGCATTTATAGTTATAGATTGTCTCAGCTGTGAGGGTTGGCAAATAAAAGTGAGAATTTAGGGGGGAAATTTCATAATGAGTAATCTAGGATTGTTGAAATATTTAAAAAATGTTTAGATAGTAAATTCTTTTCAAAAGACCCTTCCCTGTATGTGGAAGGATGGATGAGGGAAATCCATTTCTGTATCATAAGACATATCATACATATGAAGGGAGTTTTGGCATTTGGAAATATGTCTGTGAGCTGTACCAAGCTTCATATTACGTAAGTTATTAGAGACTATGTAGCTGCATAGCTTTCCTTTTGCCTCTCATGAGATCTTTATATCATAGGAAAAACTACTTTTTCCATTTTGTTTTACTTTCTAGGATTATATTTCACAAACAGCACAGCCATATCTGAACTTGAGGGAAAAATATGATCTCTTGACAGGGTTGGGTGGGGGAGGGAGTTCTGAAATGCTTTTGGAACCCAAACTATAACTGAGTCTATGTCATTCCCCTTAGGATATGAATCTATAAGCATTTGCAAGTTCTTACATTTCACCTTTACTCAGTAAAGGAAAGTCACAGTAAGTGAAATTATGATTTGTTGAAGGGACTGGCCTGGTGGAATCCATAAACCTGTTGTTTATAACTGGATAGGGCTTCTTTGGGAAATGATAATTATTCCTTACAAAAAGTCCTCAAGTTCAGGGAGATAGAAGTTGTTCTGTACTATTTGGGCTAGTTCTTGGCTCTAGAGGATTTTTTTCTTTAGTCAAAAAAAAAAAAAAACACAGGGAGAAGAGACACTTGAGACTTCCTTAAACCAGTGACCACCTCCCCAGGACCACCCTCCAGAGGGCAGCCTGCACATCAGGGTTCCTGAGGCTGTAGATTATTGGGTTTAGCATGGGGTTGATGACAGTATTAAAAATTCCAACAGCTTTATCCTTATCTGACAGTTTGGCTGAACCTAGTCTCATGTAGCTAAAAATACCAGAACCATAGAATATGGCAACCACAGTGAGGTGGGAGCTGCATGTGGAGAAGGCCTTCTTCCTGCCCTCAGCTGAGCAGATTCGCAAGACTGCAGCTGCCACGTGGATATAGGAGGTGACAATGAGAACCACAGGGGTACCTGCCATTATGAAACCCACAGCAAAGAGCAGCAGCTCGTTGAGCTGGGTGCTGGAACAGGAGAGCTGGAAGAGCTGGGGGAGGTCACAGTAGAAGTGATTGATCACATTGGGGCCACAGAAGTTGAGTGTGGATATGGCCACAGTATGGGTCAGTGCATTGGTGAAGGCACAAGCCCAGGATGCAGCCACCAGTATCCTCTGGACTGTCTGGCTCATGCGGGTGCTGTAGGTGAGGGGCTGGCAGATGGCCAGGAATCGGTCATAGGCCATGGCGGTCAACAGGAAGCAGTCCACCCCAACCAGCAGATGGAAGAAGAAAAGCTGTGTGAGGCAGGCTCCATATGGAATTGTACGCTTGTTGGACACAAGACGACCCAACATTGAGGGAATAGTGACAGTGATACACCCAATGTCCATCACGGATAGGTTCCCCAGGAAGAAGTACATGGGGGTGTGGAGTTTGGGTTCCACCAAGATGGCTGCCAGGATGCTGAGGTTTCCCCCAACTGTGACCACATAAGCAAGGAGGAAAAGTACAAAGATCACTGGCCATAGCTCTGGTGTCTCCACCAATCCCAGTAGGATGAATTCAGTAACTGCTGTTCCATTGGCCCCAGATTTCGGCTGCATGAGTTCCTGCAGGGAAAAACCCAAAGAAGAAAAAAAGAAATCAGTCCTCTAAATTGGCTTATTTAACCAAAAATAAGCTTTCTGTATTCTCAGGCCTCAACTAAATTCCCTCTGTCCAAGAAAGGACTTTTCTATTCCCCACGCCACACTGTACTTAACTCCTTCACTACATCTACTTCAATACCTTTACTTCTTGTGAGGTACCAGGACAGGTGACATTACCACTCTGGACTTCCTTCCCTCCACTAGCTGAAATAATCTATTTGTAGGATTAGGAGGCATAAAACCCTTGAGAAAAATAAATAAGCAAGAAGTATACTTCTGGTCTGAATACATAAGAGTAAATCTAGCTCTTTCTCTTCTCAGATCTCATCCTTTACCAAACCAAGCAGAAGAATAAACATATAGATTCTGTCTTCAAAGAAACAATTAAATATCTAAAACTCCAATCCATAAAACAGAATGGAAGGATTTGAGAACAGTGGATATCAAATAGGAGAGTGGTAAGAAGCGGAGAGAGGGAATCCATGGCCATCAAGAGCTAGATGAGTATAATTCTGTGAAAAAAGGGGGCAGTCAAAAGGACCAATACTGAAAGAACTTGTTTGCAATAACAAGAGTAGGGTACAAAGTTTTGCATCATTTTTTTTGTGTGTGTGTGATTTAGAGTTGTATTCAAGAAGCAGAGGAAGGGCTAAATGAAGAGTCAAATACACAGGCAAGTTGTAATCTAATACACAGACTACAGATAAGGCATAAGATTAAAAGTGAGAGAGGAAAATATACCATACCAGCTCCAAATTATGTGTCAACATAATTTGGAGCTGGTATGGTATAAAGGCTAAAATAAATTCTCTCCAACTTGAAATCACAAAGTGAGTTTCTGCTATGCCAAAACATATTCTTAGACTCTCCTGACACAAGAAGCTTACAAATATTTAGTTTAGCAATAACTCACTTCAGTCAAGGATTCAAAAACAAGTAACCACAGAATAGATACAAGGATTCCATAAGAAAAAGAAAAGAAAGAAGAAAAATAATAAAAAGGTGGAATTCAGCTCATGGGAGGATCTTGCCACGGAATGGATGAAAATGGGGATCAAACATTTCAGTCTATAAAAAAATCTCAAGGAATAATTTTCCTTTATAAAACAAGAAGACAGAATAAAAATATAAGAGCTGAGGGAAGAGGTAATAAAAAGAACCTAAAATATGATCTTGAAGAAGACAAGAAAAATGTTAAAGAAAATTTATAATAACTGCAGGAAGAAAAGCAAAATTAGAAACAGCACAATGAAAAAAAATCAAACAGACTCAGGAACAGCATTTTATAAAAAGACAAATGAAATGAAAATAGAGGAAAAAATGATAAACACAGGGCTAGACAAAGGAGATTCAACAGTTGTAAAATTGGAGTCACTAAACAAGGAAAGATAATGGAAAAGACCAACAATTTAAAGGCAAATTTTAATGAGAAAATTTTTCAGAAATAAGAGTGTATTTGAATCTACAAATTGAAGGGGAAAATTTATACTGAATGTTCTAGGAAAAATTTATATTGAATGCCAGCTTTGTTACATGCCATTGTGTTATTACTGATGATTAAAAACCAACCAAACAAACAATAACATCAACAACAACAAACAAAACAAAGGATAAGTAACTAGGAAGAGACAAAAACAAACACACACAAAAATAAAATCAAAACAGTCAAACTAAAAAACCCACAAACAAAAACCTCAGATCAATTCTAAAGAAAAAAAATTAAGATCATCTCTCTTTGCTCCAAAATAGCATTCAAAAAAATATATAATGGAAAATTGCTAACAATGCATTTTTCCCAAAAAAGGTGATAAAAATATTACAACTATTTAGATTATCACTTATCATTCAAATATAAAATTAATTTTGTGATGCAAGAACTCCAGGACTAATTGTTAACATTAGGAATTGTTCTGACTTTATTCTTTTTAAAAATTTGTTCTTTTCTAGTTATACATGACAGTAGAGTATATTTTGACATATTTGTACAAACATGGACTATATATTACCCTAATTAGGATCCTAGTCTTGTTGAAAAAGGCAGACATTAGAGTTTTCAAACAGAGTTTAGAAAAAACAAACTTTGGTCAACAGAGAAAAATGAAAAATCTACAGTATATGAACTGGTGGTTAATTTTAAATTTCATTAACTATGGGACAAAGATAGTTATAATGGTAAACCTAAAACAAATCTTCCAAATTATGGGAAGAAACTTTCCTGTAAAACAAAGACCTTACAGTGAAAGGATTTTTAAAAACACTATAAAAGCAAATAGGATGACATGAAAAAATAGAACAGAATTAGGATTAAACATACTTAAACAGGAAAGCTGAGCTGAGTGCAGTGGCACATACCTGTAATCCCAGCGACTTGGGAGGCTGAGGCAGGAGAATTACAAGTTCTAAACCAGCCTCAGTGACTTAGTGACGTCCTGTCTCAAAAATAAAAAATAAAAAGGACTGTGATGTTGCTCAGTGGTTAAGCATCCCTGTGTTCAATTCCTGGTACCACCGCCCCCTCCAACTTAGTAAAGCTGAATGGGCTAAACTCATCTAGTGAAATAAGTGGATTTCAGATTGTATCTAAAAACATCTAACTTTAAGCTGAAGCCAAAGTATCTTGCCAAAGCAAAGTTAACTTAAAAAGTTGAAGGTAAAGGAATACCAGTTGATTGCAGTAAAAAATAAAGCAGGGATCATGATCTTAACAAGATCAATTTGAATTTGAAAAGAGGCCATAAGTGGAAAACCAGAAGAGCACTTTGTAATAATAAATGGTCAAAAAGATATAATAGCTATGAAAATGAATGCTGCAAATGTGTAGCATTGATATATAAAGGAAGTTCAAGGAGAAATAACCAGAAACAGGATAACAGTGAGTGTATTTCAGTGACCTACAGTCCATAGAGAGTTAAATTGACAAAATAAATTGAGACTATCAAAAAACCTCAGTATGAGATGCAGCTCAGTGGTAGTGTGCTTGCCTTGCATGCTTGAAGCCCTGGATTATGTTCTCAGCACTGTGGAATAAGCAAACACTCCAGAAAATAGACAAAACCTTCAATATAATTATTCAAAAGGTGGGAGTAATTGATATCTAATTCACATCAAGTGTTGTTTAAAGTCTAATTCCTATAATAAATCGTTTCAAATATTCATAGTGTTTCTGCTTCTTGGATTGATCACTGAATTGATATAATCATAATCAAAAGGCAAAGAACTTGGACAAAATATTTGCAAATGACAGCAGACACAGTGGCCAACTTCCCTAGTAGACAAAGAACTAGCTCATGTGTGTGTGTGTGTGTGTGTATACCAATAGATCCATAGGAAAAAGGACAAAATACATTAACATTTCATAGATAAAATATACGAATATCTCTTAAAACAAGAAAGTATGATTGAGTTTGCTTTTAACCAGAGGAATGCAAATTAAACTACCATAAAATTTTTCTCTTATCAGATTGGAAAAGACTAAAATATTATGATAATTTGTCTAAGAATGATTCCCTAGAGACTGGCCTTCTGCAGAAATTGTCTATAACTGAGGTGTTGACGTGGTTGATTCTGATTCAGGCTGCAGTAGAGCTCATGCCACAGGTTCCACCATATCCTAGAGCTGCAGCTGCCAAGCTTGGACCTCAGCCTCCTGATTATGCCAGGGGTGGGGGTGGGGGGTGCTGGTATTTTTCCACTCATGCAGCCTATGAAAGTGAGGTGGAATCCCAGACTGTGATGGGCATGGAGGACCTGAGTTCCTGATACCATTTCTATTTCTATAAGTTTTCTCCCTATAAATGCTGCCCCAGTATGTTATCCATCTACTCTTTCTGATTTGTTTGACAGGATGTGGGAAAACAGACCCTCTCATTAGTGATCAATAGAATAAAAATGGATATAAATTCAAAAGAAAAAGGGCAATATGAAAATATCCTTTAAAATTATAAACATTTACCTTTTACCTATTTTCCTTTTATCTATTGGAATTTATTCAATAGTTATATGGTCACATGTAAAAGGTGACATATTGTGAGGTTATTTGTTGCAACTTTGTTCTTTCTCTTTTGCTCTTTGGCTTGTGATGATCTGAGTAATTTTGTTCTACTGTGCTCTCTTACCGCATTGTGCTGCTTTGCCACTGACCAAAGAAATAGGGCCAACTGATCATCAACTGGAACCTCAAAAAATGTGAACCAAAATTGACTTTTTTCTCTTTATAAGTTGATTAACTCAGAGATTTTGTTTTAGTGATAGAAAATTAACTAACACACATCTAAATACACATTTCACAAAAGAAGATATACAAATGTCCAATAGATATATAAAAAATGTTTGTTATCAGTAACAATCAGGGAAATGCAAATTAAAATCACACTGAGATATTGCTTCACATGTGTTAGAATCATTATTATAAAAAAAGACCAAAGATACTAAATGCTGGTGAGGTTGTAACAAAAAGCTAACCCAGTACACTGTTAATGGAAATATAAATTAGTACAGCTATTATGAAAATGAATATGGTTTCAACCCCTCCAAATATCATATAATCTAGTAATCTTATTTGACTTATTAAAATCAGTAATGTTGAAGAACTATCTGCACTCCCATGTTCAATGACACATTATTCATAAAAGCTAAGATGTGGAAGCAACTTAGGTGTCCATCACCAAATAAATGGACAAAGAGGCAGTGCATATAATGGAATACTATTCAGTCTTAAAAAGCAGGAAATTCTGTTATTTGTGGCAGCATGGATGAATCTAGAGGACATTATGCCAAGTGAAATAATCCAGGCACAGAGAGAAAAGGACTTTGGGTTATCATTTCACTTGTAATCTAAAAAACATTGAATTTGCAGAAGTAGAGAATAGGATGGTGGTTACCAGAAGCTGGGGAATGGGGGAAGAGAAGATGCAGATCAGACAAGAGGAATAATCTTCACTGATCTATTGCACAGAATGGTGATG